TATATATATATATATATATATACCTAAACACATATTTCTTTAAAAAAAATTAGTGTCACCTCTCCTTCATGCACATGTGTAATCACATCAAATGTAAAATCATATGTTTTTCCACTTTGTCATAAAATTTTCTAAAACACAGACATTTTTTAACAAGTGGAAGACTAGCATTAACCATTAAGATTGTAGTGATTGAGGGAAACATCCTATTGAGAGTTGGTTCCAGGAAAACTTCTTACCAATGGGATATGGAAGGAATTTTGGCTGACAAAGTACTGTGATTCAGCTTTTTATATATTTTTTCTTATGTTTGTACAAGTGTGTAAAAACTGCCTAAAAGTTCTATATATCTGAGTACTTTTGGCTATTCTTTTAGCCATTATGAAGGGCATTTTTATTTTTAATATACATATTTTTTTTTTAAGCATGTGTCTAAAGTTATAGCATTCTCAACACATTGTGGCCATGTTCATTATTTATTATTAGGGTTTCTATAATTTTCATCTTTTTTTTTTACATATGGATTAGGTTATGCTTGCATTTTCTACTAGTATGTTTCAGATAGTCTGGTAATTTTTTGTGTGTGTTTAAATGAGTCCTAATAGAGCTATGGTCAGATAGGTGTAATGTAAGTTGTCTGGATAGGCATATAGTATTATGACCAATAAAATTAGTTATGAATTTGGTTTGATCAGGGACATAGTTCCATTAGTTACTTTAGAAAGAAATAGTCTAATCTGGTGGTTGATGAGGTAGTTAGGAAAATCATTGTTAACTAGCATCTATTTTACATTATTGAATTTTTTTTTAGGAAAAAGTGGACAAGAGGATGGATTCTTGTGAGCTCTCTTTTTATATCTAAGTGGATATTCACTCTTAAAATCAAGGTGGCAATAGTTTCTGCTAGTGGGTTTTTTTATAATGAAGTGGTGAATGTGTTATTACTGTATTCTATAAGAGTGTCTAAGAATGGGAGTTTATTCTTTTGACTAAGTTCATATGTAAAGAAGAACAGTTTTTTCAAATGTGGTTTTGAGATTATCGATTTCTGGTTTGATTTTTGCTAAAAGAAAAATACCATCTACACAGCAGACATATGTTTTGGATTTAGTAACTTGTAACTACTACATGTCCCACGTAGAAAACACGATATTTAAAAAAAGTAACTAAACCCAAAATATATGTCCGCTATGTAGATTTAGCAAAAAATAAACAAGTAATTAATAATCTTAAAGCCACATTTGAAAAGAAACTTAACTTTACCTATTAAGTGAGTCAAAAAATAAACTCCCATTCTTAGATGTTCTTGTAGAATACTGTAATAAGTTTTTCTTAAAAATATCATAAATAAAAAAGAAAAACCAAAACTCAATAAAATTAACTATGAACATGGCCACAATGTGCTGACTGTGTTCAGAAAGTAAAACATTCCTAGAACTTTAGATACAAGCATAAAAAAAAACCCCAACATATTTTCTTTAAAAAATAAAAAAAATCGTCTTTGATAATAGCTAAAAGTATAGCCAAAAGCATTTGGATATGTTAAACTTTTAGACACTTTTTATGTCTAGAAAACAAGAAAAATTAAATAAAAAGCTTAATTAAGTGTACTTTGTCATTCATCTTTAATGAAACATGCATAAAAGAGGGATTACTGTCTAAATACACATACACACACCCATATATATATATATATATATATATATATATATAGTTGTAGAGTGGATAAATGAAACGGCCAAATATAAGCAGGTGTGTGCTGGTGTGCATACACAGGAAAGCAAATAAATGTTAAATTTATGCATGAGGTGTAAATGTAATAGTGCTCAATACTGTTATACAGAGCAAAGATATGTATTAATTAATACTTATACATGTACCTACGTTTTTATATATATATATATATATATATATACACACACACACTTTTAATAATAAACAGACATTTTCTCCCCCTCTCACCATTTGGTCCAACTCAACTAATGTTCTTTTTCTTTTTAAAACAGATGAAAATACCTGAGAAGAGTGTTGTTGTAACAGAGACTCTGTCCAATCATATCACTTTTGGTAATTTGTTAAACTAAATCCACTTCAGTACAAAGTTGGATTTTTGTGAAGCACCAATTGACTAGATTTACATAATGTGCCGGTTGTAGATTACTAAAAAAAAAAATCAGTGTTTTTTTTCATAGAGATCATTAAGGCCTTTTTATTTTGTTTGTCCACAACCAACTCTGCTGAATATTTGGCCCTTTTAAGTAAAGGGCTTGTGTTGATTGGAAGGACAATTCTGACCAAGTAATTACACTTGCAATGATAGAGCAAAGTTAATTACATTCAAGAACTATAATCCTGGAAGTTATGTGAAATTATTTTTTTTTTTTATTTGATTGTTAATCAAACAGTCACAGTGTCAAATGGTGAGAGAAATGTTGAATTCAAGAAGAATTCTTACTAGGAATTTAAAAAATTAAATCTCTGAAACAATTCTTGAAAACCTGATAAGTTTTTCTTGAATGTTACTGCAATCCTTCCTGTTGCTATTTTTAGCAACAACTTTGCATTTTTATTTTCTCTCTAACTGAATTTTCTAGTAAGAAAATAATCACTCACATTATATATGTGTTTCATTAAAGATGACAGCTCATAGATAGGGATCTGTCTATCAAAATTCTTGAATGACATCATAACTCTATACTAAACCCAGGTATGATGGTATTTATCAATCCAGGTGATCGAATGTTACAATGAATTCCTCCAAAAATTTCAAAAAACTACTAAACCAAACCAGGGTATGATAGCGTCACTTGACATCAAAAATTTATTTACAAACGTCCCAGTCAATCAAATTATTGACTCTATTCCTTTGCCATCCATCAAACTATTTATTCACTTATACTCAAAAAATTACTACACACATGCAGAACCAAAGTCCCTTTTTATGACCATAATGGTATTAGTATGGGAAATCCACTTGGTCCATGCTTCTCCAAATATTACATGTCCCATGTAGAAAATATGATATTTAAACAGGTCTGTAAACCTAAAATATATGTCCTCTATATAGAAGATATTTTTATTTTAGCAAATAACACTAAAGAAATAGATACTCTCAAAACTAAATTTGAACTTAGTCAAAAAAATAAACTTGAATTCTTAGACGTTCTTGCCAAATACAGCAACACTTTTATCACTTCATTATATAAAAAACCCACTAGCAGAAACTCTTGCCACTTTAAAAGTGAATGCCCACTCAGATAGAAAATAGCAGTGATAAAGAACTTCCTAAAAAGTGCACACCAGAATTCATCCTCTCGACTACTCTTCCTTAAAGAACCCAATAACGTAAAACACGCTAGTTAACAATGGCTTCCCTAACGACCAAATTAGACTATTTCTTCCCAAAGTAAATAACACTGATAGTGAATACACAGTCAAAAATAACAAATATATTCTACAAACGCCAAATGCACATCACCTACAAACAAGATGAATCTTCACTTGGAAATATCATAAAGATATACACTACCCCAATTGAGCCAAAAAAAAAAGAGAAATAAAATTAATTATCTACGACAAAAAATTTAAAACAGCTAACCTTATATTAAAAAATAACACACCATCAAAATTACAATGAATGAACATTATAAGTTCAAATGCCCCTTAAGGAACTGTGTTCCTGATCAAACTGAATTCATAAATAATTACATCAGTCACACGAATACATGCCTATCCAGACGCCTTACATTACACCTATCTGACCACAGCTCTATTAGAATCCATTTAAACACATGCACAAAACTAGTAGGAAATACAAACGTAATAACCTCATCTACATGTAAAAAAAAAAAAAAAAGATTAAAAATAATGGAAGCCTTCATAAAAAAGAAAAAGCCAATACTTAATAATATTAACTACAAACACAACCACAATGTGCTAAATGTGTTTGGAAAATAAAACATCCCTATAACTCTAGATACATACACACAACCTATACACCCAATTAAAAAGTAAAAATTAAATTCATCTTTGATAATGGCTGAAAGTATAACCAAAAGTGCTTGGAATTACAGAACATTTCGACAGTTTCTATATACTCTGTGTCTGGAAAAAAGAAAACATTTGAATACAAGAAAAATTAAATAAAAAGCTTAATTATAGTATCTTGCTTGTCATCTTTAATGAAACACTGCTGCCTGAATACACTTTTATTCATATATATATATATATATATATATATATATATATATATATACAGGGTGCTCCAAAAGAAATTGCCTCCAGTTCATTTTTGAGGCGAGTACTCTTTATTTTACATATTGACTGGAATACAGCTTATCACCACTACTGAAACAAATTACCCCACCTCCTCTGTTTGGTCTCCAAGAACATTGATGAATGTCAATGGGTGCAACTCCCCCCCCCCCACACACACACAGTGGAATTTAATTCATGTCAGATGCCATACTGCTATTTGCAAGAAGGCAAAAGAAAAAAATGTTATTGGCAGGAAGGTTCAATATCTACTACCATAGCCTGCAAGAGGTGGGGGGGCTGTGCAGTGGGGTTAGGTGGGAGGGGATCCACAGGTACAGACTAATGCTATGCACAAATACACACACTTTATATATATCTTCAATTAATATATAGAGAAAACTTGTGTAAATAATTTGCAATCAGTTTGCAGAATTTGGTTTTAATGGCTGATGATTTTATAACATATTTCATTAAATGGTAAAGCACTGCTGGTTGGACATGGACACTCTAGATTTTTTTCTTTTTTAGTCCCTACATATTTCATAAAATCCAGCCAACAAGCTAAAGAGAATATTTATCTGTTGAATAAATATGGAAAAATAGTGCTGTAAAGAATTTGATGATTGAAGCATTACAATTCTATTTAATTGTATAAAAATGATCTTTCTACAATATGGAAGTGAGTGGAAGATTTCCAAGTATATAGCGGATCAATTTAAAAAATAATAATAATAATTACTTACTTTCTCTTCTGGCAGTAGACAAACTAATTTCATGTGGCATTTCTCTTTCCATTCAGTAATAGCAAAGTACATTGGTGTAAAAGTAGAACGGTAAACCTTGATGTTCTTTTTGCCATATTCTCTTTCAGCTTCCTCTACAAACGAAAGTTCTTGTTAAAAAAACAATCTGTCAAGAATGTAAAGATTTTGTTATCACAGCCTGATAATTAAAAGCTCAATTCTTAGTCAACTATTTTGTGCATTAAACAATTAACAAGATCTGAAGAGATTTGGAATTGGCAACTTTTTTCTTTAATATAACCACAAAGAAAAAAAAATGTGCCATGAATATTTCTAATAGTTAAAAGAAAACTGAGAAGGAGACATTTTAATATAAACTTGGAAAACTAAATCAGTATATTCTGTTTATATAATGAGGTTTGTGGGCGATTATCATAGGACCTTTTTTTAACTGATAATATTGGAGCTTAGAAGCAAAACAAGACTCCAATGGAAAAGTATGCCCAAAACGGCCAGTGAAAACATAAACAAAAAAAAAAAAAAACAATGTTTACATTTTAACTATTAATTTTGAATCCTAATTAGGATAGAAATGACATTCTCATTTTTTCCCATAAAAATTTGCATGATGCAATGGAGTCTCAAAATAACCAAAGTTCTACTGCACAGTACATAAAGCCAGACTGGCAAAAGACACACAAAATGTTAAAAGAAAAGTTAATTCAAATATTTAAAGACATTTTTCTGACCTTGTGAAAGTCCCACAGTTCCTACTGGAGGATGTGAAAAAATAACAGTTGGAATGTCCTTGTAGTCCATCTTGAGGTTTTTTTTGTCATCATCAAAAACTCGATGGGCTAAACAGCGGCCTGCTGCAATAGCAACTGAAATAGCAAAGGTTGAATATGTGTACAAAATTCTGTAACCAAAGAAAATGAATTTCCTGAAAAACAAATGTTTATGAATGCAGAACTGTTTTATAATAATGGGTCTTAACAGGAGGAAAAAAAAATTAGGGGAATTCTCAATAGGTTTTTTTTAAAGTATGAAAATTAACCTATATAAGAAAGCTACAACTTAACTCAATACCAAATGAATGAAAACCAAACAAAAAAATTCAAAAGTAAAATATCTATTTTTCTTTATTAAGGGTTGAATTAAAAAAAAAAATACTGATATTTTGTTTTGAAAATTGCTCATTACAGTAGTTTCTAATTTTAAATTCATAAATTATTTTGTTACATGATTAGCCATTTTTAAACAGTCAAATTTCTTAAAAGATTTTGCTGCTTTCTTCTGATCATTATAAGACAATTTAAGTACTGAACAAGTTTTAAAATTATGATAATTTTACGAGAAATAAGAAAATACATTTTCTTTTTAATATTTCTTCACTATTTGAAAATTCCTTTTTTCTTTTTTAATATCCTGGTAGTAAAAGAAAAGTGCCGATAACAATCCTTTAATTTCTAATCTATGAACAAAATGTTGAAATTTCATTCTGAATTAATTATTGATTTGAAAATTTCTTGTTTTACTCTGACAATACAATTACAGGTTGAGGTTTGAAATAACAAGAGAAAAAAATAAAACAACAAAATATTTTATTCTCAGAAATGATTTTTTTTTTTTATTACCAAACAAGTTAGAAGTGACGAGTCAGCATTTTAAGATTATCCACAAGAAAATTTCTGAAAATGCTCAAATGACATCAAAATACAAAAGGAACATCTAAATGGTATTAACAAAAAAATTTAAAGATTAGGTTAAATTATTTTGAGACATTTGTTACATTTTGGAGGTGGGGAAAGTACACTTAGATCATTTCTTTATCAATCTATTAGACTGTTTGAATTTCTAGAATGAGGAGTTATCATTATTTACATTTGGACTAATGCTCTCATCTTTGGCTGTTTCTGCAGCTGTGCCCTTCGACCTTCATCAGATGCTTGTGGGTTTGAGTAACCTTAAAGGAATTTTGAGCTAAAGCCTATGGAAGGCTTTTTTTTTAGTATTGTTGAGTAATTGCTTGCTGTTTCCACTGAGTCTAAGGTGCTACTACCTGGCCTATGGTTGTACTAAACAAACACTTTATCCACTATGCTAGTGAGCCTTTGGAATTTAAAGAAAAATAAAAAGCCATAAAAAGTATTCTCAAGAACTATTTACAATATTGAAGTTTTGGAAGAATACAAAAGTAAATCAGCTGACAAAGCAACTAACATCTTTCTTAAACAATAATTTATTCAATACAATGAGTGAAAAGGAAACAAAAAAACAAGAACAATATACCCACCTCTATAAGATGGAGAGTTATGGTCTACTAGACTCTCCCAAAAATCACATAAAGATCAACCAACTCTTTATCTTTGGGAAGGTCAGCATCTGTCTACAGAATGTTGAACTAATAGAATCTTTGTTTGGTGGGGAGAGAAATGATAAATTCCTTCCAAAGGTGAACAATCAAAATTTTGTCATCATTCAGGTGAAAAATTGAATTTTTAAATTCTATTGAAAGATGAAAATGAAATCTTACCTGGAGTAAGGAGAAACTTGCCACAGACATCACCCAATGCATAAATATTTGGGGCTTTTGTATTCTGATACTCATCAACAATAATGTGTCCCTTGGAGTCACATTCAACATTCTACAAAGAAAATATTTAACTGGTACATCAACATCTATACGAGTCAAAGAGCACTAAGCATAATTTATTTTAATGATAAACTTGTAGAATTTACAAATGATTATAATGTATGGCTACCCTTTTCAAAATGAGAAAAGTGATAGTTTAGTTAAAACTTCTACAGGAGTCATTAATATTGAACAGTTTGTGTGTGTGTAAAAATTTCAGATACAGTATATCTGTAAAAGGACAATATGAATAAAGACAAAAAGAAAACTTATCTTAGCCAACATGTTTTGTACTCTGATGGATATTATCATGGCAAATGTAAGGATTTTTATTTTGTGACAAGTATTTATATACAAAAGCAAAAATGTTATCAGTTTTTTTAAATATTTTTTTTTCTTTTTTAACACTCATAAAAAAAATTTTGAAGAACAAATATTTTTGCACTTGCATATAAATACTTATCACAAAATAAAATCCTTACATTTGCCATGATAACATCCATCAGAGTACAAAACATGTTGGCTAAGATAAGTTACATTTGCTTTGAAAAAGTCCCTCAGAAGACAAAATGTGTGTCGGCTAAGATAAGTTTTCCTTTTATCATTATTCACACACACAGTGTGCGATGGATAAATTGTCATCTGGATTATGCAAAAATGAAAATAACACTTACATCTCGTTTTAACAGATATATCAACCAAAATTACACAAAAATATCTTGAAATACTAAACAGTAAATTTATTCAATAAAATCACCATTGGCTTCAACCTGTAACTCTTCTGGATGGTCTCCTTGTTGATGAATGCTGCCATAATACTTGCCTTCAGGTCATCTTTGGTGTTACGAGGAGTTTTATTGGTCTCTCGCTCAACTGCGCCCCACACATAATAATCAGTCTGGAGAGTTAGGTGGCCAGATGTAAGCGGTAATGTGGTCGCAGAAATTGTCTGACAGCTATGACTAAGTTCTCTTGTGTGGCATGGTGCAGAGTCCTGTTGCCAGACATAAGGGTCTTCCATTAGCCACGATCTTGACGCAGGGCAACACTACTGCATCACCATTAAACACACTGAAATGTTTGTATTGGAGCTTTCGGCACAAATGCCAAGCAGTACAGCATGCCATTTCCAAATTTCTGGTGGAGTGAATTGTGTCATGGTGCCCAACTGACCCTACCTTTCAGTGCAGTCAACAAAATCAAAAACAAACAATGCACATACTCGAAAATAAAACTATAAAATGGCAACAATTTACCCATCACACCCCATATGTGTGTCTGTGTATATATATTAAGAATTTTAAAAGGGCTACAAAATTTAATAATTGTAATTAAAATGGGCATATTAAAATCAGAAAACAATAAAGAATAACAAAATGTTTATATTTACCATAAAGAGTTTTTTTTGTTTTTTTTTTAAATCTTTTCAACTTAATCACCATAATAATAATGCCACTAAGACACAAGGGGTTACTGGGAGTGAAAGAGGATGAGAAGACTTTAGGAAAAGGAACCGGAAACCCAATCATAAACAGGAAACAAGGGATAAACCTCTACTCCTGTTCAAAAGATAGGTTTGCCTATGGTCCAGTTTCCCTAACTGGTTTTCATTCCTCTCTTGAAGACTGAAAAATGTGCACAGTCAATAAACTATATTTTTTTTTTAGTTTTCAATAGAGTTCTGACAAGAAAGAATGAAAACCAATTAAGCCTTTTCTTTCATCCTATCTTTGTTTTTCAATTTACCTCTTTATGGTAACTATAATAAACATTGTTATTTTTCCTGATGATTGATTTTAATACGTCTATTTTTAATACATTGAATACATTAACAATAGTGATTTTTACAAAGGTTTTGCTTTAAAGTACAATGAAATGTTCAAATTCCTAACTTATCCACTCATCCTGGTTATTTTCTCTTTTGCTTAAAAAGAGGTTAGTCTTCTCTCTCTCACAAACATTCAGTAGGTTATAACAAATTATATTAACACTATCATTTGTTTTTAAAAATTCTTTTTATGTTAACAGTTAAAAACAATATTTAAAAAAAGAAAAGGGCATTACTGTCAGAATTCCAAAATGTTTTCTGCAATTCTTTTGTACTAGACAATGTCATAAAACTTACCACATTTTCTAATCCAAGATCAGACGTATTTGGTTCCCGTCCGACTGCCCACAATAAACAATCAACATCATGTATTTTACAATTATTTGTCTCAATTGTTAAGAGACCATCAGCTTGTTTTGTTACATTTTTGGTCTAAAAAAAAAAAAAAAAAAAAAAAAATTATTATTTATTGAAATGTTCACTAGATATAAATTGTCTGAACCTGAAATAATTGAATGAAAGGAAATCCAAAATATAACTTTCATCTTGTTACAACTATGAAAAATGCTTAGATATAATGATACTAAGAAAGAAAAGTTGATAGCACATTTGTTTATGACAAAATAGAATTTATGCTACAAGGAGGATATTAACACACACACACAAAAAAAAAAAAATTCATAAGGGTTGCCAAGTTAATGCAGTTGCTTAAAACAGTTTAAAAAAAAAAAAAACTTTTTTAAACTTTCATAATTGAAAAAATTTTGTCAAAGATGAAAAAAATGTGTTTAAAAATAAATGAAAAAAAAAAAAAAAAAAATTTATAAAACAAAAATCAAGATTAAAATTCTCTGCTTTGCCATTCATTTCAAATGACAAAAAGAGTGGAGGTATTTGTAAGTAACACATTTCATTCCAAGAAGAGACTTCTTCAAATTAATACTGGTTGTATCAAAGAAGTCAATCTTTTCTGTATGTTGTTTGTTATGGTTAGAAACACAACAAATGCCAGTAAAAGGGTACTCAACTTTAAAGTTCATTTACAGACATCTGGTATATCAAGTTGTATAACGTAGCTAACTTCATTCAGCTTAGGTTTTTAAATATCCCACCTTTATATGAGAAACAGTTTTGAGGAAAGGAGATTTTATGTTGAATAATCCCAGACTTAAATTTACTGTGGAGGATTCTGAAATTAGTCCACATTCAACACATTTTTGCATTAAATTATTTCCTTTAATTAAAACCACATTCTTTAAGTCAACATTATGGTCAAAGTTACAATGGAACAACTAATCAACAGATTTTTTTACGAAATCTCTTTTTGTCTTCATATAATTCTTTATTTAAATTCCTAGACATTTCAAAACTATTTCCCTTTATATAAAAGACTGACTGCATTAATGAAAACGCCATTGTTTATCACAATAAAGTTACTTCGATGGAGCAAATGTGCCACACTGGAGTTTTCCCATTTTGTCATTCAATTACCACCTATTTGTTTAATATAGAGACTTTGTATTTCATATTCTTACATTGTCAACATGGAGAAAAAGAAACTTAATATTGGTTCAGTTGTATAAAAATAGAAAAAAGTCTTTAATAAAATGCATCAAAGAAAAGGTTATCATACAAAGCATATGCAAAATGCTCAGAATGTCCACCATAGATTTCCAATAAATGTATACAAATTCTTAAAATCACTTGCTGAACAACTCGGTGAAATGAAAAAAAAATGACATTTAAAAAATTAAAAAAAAAAAAAAAATTAAACTGGAGCTTCGGCACATGTGAACATATTCTGTTGAAATTAGAAGTGGATCATTTAAGAAAAAGGAAAACCGAATTTACAGAAACTACACAGTTTACGTTCAAACAGTAAATGGAAGGACACAAGACAATCAGACCTTATAGAAAAGCATATCTAACAAGATTATCCAACATTGAACATGAAGCCCTTAACTTTGGACTAAAATTTGCTACAGGAATTTAAAAATAAAAGATTTGACAATTTAAGAACTGCAAGTATAATGATACATATTTTAACAAAGATATCATTCAATGATTAATCACTGCCAGTTTAGGAATAGAGAATAAAACAATGTTATCACAGAGATGCATAAAAGTGCATCAGAAAATTTAGCTAAAATTACGGACATTTCCATCATTGACAAAGGAGCTAGGATTGTTATGAATAAAAATACTAACAACAAAAAAAAAATAAGATTGTTACTCCATGAAACAAATGTTTAAAAAAAAAATAAACCAATGAATATAAAATAACCTATGAGACACAAAAATTCAATAAATAAACTGACAGTTAATTAACAATGAGGACATGACATCATTGAATACCATCCAAAAATAGCCAGACCTTTATGGTCTCTGGAAAACATACAAAGCAAATATTCCTATATAAACAATCATCTTTGACAGTGTTCTCCAGACTAGTAAAAAAGCTAGTAACAATTTTAACCCCCACTTCTTGGAACAATTAACCTTTCACATCTTAAAAATTCTGGCAGATTTGTCAAAAGACTAAAAATGGTGGACAGATAAACTCATGCCTAGTTTACATATTAAATCTTTATACACTAACATAACAGATACTTAGTTCTCTTAAAAAAATATTTTGTACAATCAAAAACTAACCACTCCTTGCCAATAAAATTGTAAAAATCTGCCAGACTTATTATAAAACGATGTTACTTCACTTTCAATAATTACTTTATCGACAGAAATTCCAATTAATGATGGGATCGCTTCTTTTTGGCATTTTAATGTTTACTTAAACAATGTTTCTGATATATTGATGATACTTCATTAATATATCCTCACAAAAGAATATTATCTGATTTTCTAGATAAACTAAACATCGAATATACAATTGAATTTACTTAGAAAATGGAAACAAATCATACATTACCACTTCTTGATATGTTGTACCACAATAATAATAATGTAAATATTTATCAAATATCTAACAATAATCATGTAAATTTCATTTCACATCATAAAAATAACAAATACTCTTCTAAAATATTTATCAGTTTCTACTTAAGATCACTGAGAATCTGTGGCCATCATTATTTGTTTGACAGAAATATGTTGAAGATACTTGTAAGCTTCTCTGGTATCCTAATTATTTCATATATATTGCTAGCCATGAAGCTGACCGAATTCACAAAATTTGGAAAAGTAATATAGCTAATTGTGATAAAACTAAACACATAAAATCAACCAACTGAATGACAATGGCAACTGAAAAGATTTTCCTCTAAATTTAATATAAATTTTGTTACCACTTCAGAATCAAAAAGAGATTTAATGCAAAACTAAATAATAACCCTAAACCTGTAAAAGGAATTTACTAAATAGACCAAAAACATGTTTCAATGAAACATCTAGAAATTTAAATAAAAGATTATATGAACAGAAAAGAGATCATACTCTTGACTTCTAGAATGCGGTTTTAGAGGATAAAGTAATTTATTAAGGTGAAAATGCAGAGAATGTGCATTCATTTTGGAATTGTTGTAAGTTTATTTCCAGAATCATACAACATATCTCTCCTTTCCTCACCAAACTAAAGCTGATACAATGTGTGGGATTATTAAAAACAATAACAATTAAAATAACTTAGACCATCTTATTCAACTTATTTGCTATAATAAGTTGTATGAGAAGATTAAAGTCAAACATTTAGATACACCAGCCAGCAACATTTATATTTAAGCAGAGCATCTCTGTATCTTTAATGCCTTCCAATATAAAATGGTAACTGGCATTTGTTATTGTATTCCCCGCCGCCACTATATATTTTCTCCTCCTTTATATATATAATATATATATATATATATATATAAAACCAGAAGTCAAAATGGTAACAATCGAAAGAAAAGTGGAAAAAGAGAGAGAAAAAGTTAAGGAATGAGCATAAAGTGAAAAAAAAAAAAAAAATAATGAAAAGAACAAATAACCACAACATTCTACATGTACATGCAGACAGACACACGCACACTATAAAAAAAAAAAAAAAAAAATGAAAAGTGAATATAAAAAAGAAAATCAAGAAGTATAAGTAATCAATTGCTGATACCCAATGATGAGTAGACAGGAGGGTTTGTCTATGAAACTCTGGAGTCAGAATGCTTAAGGTAACATCAATCAGCTAATGACAAACCTTTTGGATTAATTCTCTCTCTCATTCATTTATATATATATATATATATATATATATAAAAACAAATAATTGGCAGGATTTTATGCGCTTCACTATTTTTGTAGCTGCTCCCACTCACATACCCAAAATTGGAGCTGGCTCCCCTCACACTCCCCATTTTCAAAAAGGAGCTGCTCCAGTTTCAACTCCATTTATAAAAAGAGTGGCTCTTTTTTTGGCACTCTATAAAATGTACCTTCTTTCATGAACCTTGGACATTTATCAGTTTTAAAAATCTTCCAAAAATAATATATTTGTGATACATTATTACATTATTTGAGTAAAATTAGCAAATTTAAAGTTAAATTAATCTGATTTGCAACCAACATTACTTTATCATAAAAAAAGTAATCTACAACTGAAAAAGGCTTTAAAAAAAAAAAAAAAAACACTAATGCTAAATATTACATTACCATTGACCTAACCAAAAAAAAAAAAAATTTTTAACCAAAATTTTGAATGTGCTAAAAAGGATTAAAAGAATTTTTAAAATCTCTGAATGAGGGTGTGAAACAATAATGGGTACAAAAATTTGGTAACTATGAAATAAAAGTCAATTAAAAATTGATTTTAGGGCAGTTCTGGAGTGGGGATTTGTGGGCTAATCCTCACTCCTATATTTTTAAATATCTGAAAATCGTGTAGTGCAGAAAAACCCTACAACAATAACAGAGCCATACTTGCAGAAATGAGGTTTAGGGGCTAATATATATGTATGTTAAAAAGTAAATTAGAATTTTATTTCAGGACAAAAGTATCATTTCAGACCAAGAATCAATTTTATTCAACATTTGGATGAATATCAAGGGAAATAGGTGAGAAAATCCAATGGAAGTTATTATTCATAAAGATTTCATTTTATTTTTAATAACTTTCTTTAAATAATAATCATAATGATGACGATAATAATAATGGCAAAATTGTATACAAAAGTAAATTGTCAGTAAATTAAAAAGAAAACATTGGTTTAATTATTCATTCAACAATGAAAATTTGTCATAAAATCCAAAAAAGTTCAAGCCTTTGTTTTCCCACAGCAATATCTAAAAACAGATTTTATACTCTCTCTCTCTGACACACACATATCTAATAAAAAATGACATCAAAGACTTTCTATGGAGGGACTGGCTCCTGCAACTCAAAATAAATGTCCCGGACATCAGAACAGTAACGCCTAGGTGCCTCTTTACTAAAACCCGGGTAGATGTTGAAATAGCTTCCATTTTCATGTGTAACTAACACACACACACACACACACACACACACACACGCACACTTTACCACAGATATAATAATAAAAAATAACTCAAAGAATTTAGCTCAGCTTTTCTTTTCTTTTTTTATTGTTGAATACAAACTAATGTTTAAAAAAATTCAAATAATTTTGGAGCGAGGAGGTGCAGAGCGCAAAACCTCAAGCTCTTTAGTCCCAAATAGAGCTGCTTATGCTACACTAAAGTTGAATATAAAATATAAAATTCTTTCCTCCAGTGAAAAGGAGCATGATCCTTTTTGGTGGGGCTCTGTAAAGCCCTGGCAATTGGTAAAGTGTCAAAGAACAACCCTACCTGTACCAAATCTGCCAAAGACAAAATCCAAAAGAACTCAATGCCTTCAGAAATCAAACAAAGACAATCCCAAAATCCAGAGTCATAATTCCAAAGGTCATGAAATCAGTCTCGCAAGTTCAAAGTCGAAAATGCAGAGGACATAAATCAAGAGGGCTCAAAAATCTGTATGCAAAACTCACAATGCACAACTACCTTCTGGATTCCAAAGGAAACCTCAAGAAATCTGCCTGTCATCCAAAGTAGCATTCTTTTATTGGGTGGGTGGGTAACAATGGTTGTGATGGGTCAGGACAAAGGGAAGCATAAACAATCACCAGATTTTGACGCCTAATAACATTGACCCAATCTCGTTTTTGGTTTTCTATTTTTTTTTGACGGACAGCACAGAGAATACAAATTCTTTTTTGAGCTAAGACTGTTTTCTCCTTTGTCATCACACAATCTGAAGACCAACTTCATCAATAAAACCATTATTAGCCTGAAGATGTTCCATCTCAGCATGAGACATGTCACTTAGTTTTTTTTAATTTTGTGAGTTGATTATTCATTATTAGTCTGATTTATACATTTATATATCATTTTCTACAAGTTAAACAATTTGAAATTAATAAGTGAAAAGAAGAAATTGGTTCAGTGGATAATAGAGATATGCAATTGAAAGTTTATTGGAATGTATGTAGTCAGAAGTTTGACTTAAGAGAAACATTCTTCTCCAGAAATATTTTTGGAATGGCTTTCTGTTCATAAAAACACATTATCTATTGAGAGATTAAATTGCATGAAAGTGTCAAGGGTTGCAAAAGATGAGTAAAGTTTCATAAGGCTAAGTTCTAAAATAAAACTTTCAATATTAATCCTTTAATGAATACTGCAAGATTTGGTATTCATTATAAAAATTAAAATATTGTAGGGAAGCAAAAGGTTATTATCTCCCTTTGGTTGAGATGGAGTCACAAGGGTCAGGTGATGGCCACAGAGTGATGTCAATTCATAGAGTGACGAAAGTGGTAAATCATTATTTAGCTGCTTAGAGTCAAGATAAGTACTTACTTTACTGGCAAGGCTAAACCAGCTTGCCCGGGCTAACAGCCATGCAGGCAGCACATTAGCCCATAGCTGTTTCCCCGTTGGGAAATATAGAAACTATTGCTGGCTCACAGTTTACACATTGGGAAATATGTCCTCACCAGAAACATAAAAGATAAATGCAGCCCGTATGAATTTCTGTTGGGTAATATAAATACGGAAGCACGAAGGGATTTTCTTCTTATTGGTCAGGTATATCAGCCATTGAAGAGGGACAGAAAACTAAGAAGCACCAGAATGAAACACTGGGTCACGACGAGCAGAGCACAGACAAGACTTTCCATATGGGAACACCACACAGTGGGAAAAATGCAGCAGAGATACCAGAAATACGCAAACAAGAACAAATGAATTTGAAATGACGATGAGTAACACAAACAGAAATCCTTGGTAATGCATAGCACTGCCATTGTACAGACATGGCACACTGCCAGACACTGCTCCTTTCTGGAAAATGTGCCTGCCTAAAACTTTAGTGGTTAGCTAGCAAAAGGGATCATTTGCATAGCCAACACTGCTTGGTTCACCATCCTGACTATTTCATGGGGAAGCTGGTAAACACTTTCTTCATAACCAGACGTCCTGGGGTTCACACTGGCTCTGTTCTGGTAGGGCAGCCATTTACTTTCTTCCAGTCGAAACAGCACATTAAACGCTGTCTCTTTGACTGACAGGAGCAGGTACCATTATCAGTAGTGGCAAGCAGCTCTGTCTATATTTTGTTTCTGCCACACTGCATCACATGGCTTTGCTGTTTTCCCATTGGGAAAAAATGTGGCTACTCCAGAACCATACAAAAATCCTCTGGTAAGTCAAATTCATTACAAGTAAGACACTATGTCTCTTCATCATGTTCACACTGTTTCACTGTTGTATAAATGTGTTATGCTTTCTTTATGTTGGACAAGTGCAAATATTTGCATATAATTTTGTGTATAACTTAGCAGTATAAAAATCTCTTTAAGAACAAAGCATGTTTGTCATTCCTTTTCTCATCTATTCTCTTCTGTCCATGTGCCATGGTGTTATTATATCATGGATATAATAATACCTAAAATGGGGAATATTTCTTTCTTGTATACCATCCCTGCCACATTAATATAAATCCAGTTTTAATTATAGGTTTCTCAAAGAAAGAAAAAACTCCCTGTAAGCCATTAATGTCCATTGTTCCCAAAATAGGATTGTGAGCAATAATATGTTACGATTATAAAATCATAATATTTATTTGCATTTTTACTATTCGTGGTAGATTGTATGCTGCTTACATTCATGCTTCTAGGAAATAAAAATTGATACAAGTTTAATTCAAGAGAATAAAATGTTGTTACATGATTTTTTTTCTTACAATTCATCTTTCATACACAATAGGACAGCATCAAATGACAAAAAAAAAAAATCATTCAAGGTATCATCTGTGACTTGACAATCAAGCATAACTGAAATTTACAATTAACCCATAAAAAAAAAAAAAAATGAAGCATTTGTGTTGCTTAATGTTCATCTGAAATATCTTTAAACATTCTCAGAATTATAGACAATCTTCATTTATGCGCCTTTTCACTTCAGGATGAGGGCAATCATAGCTCTCCACAACTTCCTATCCTTTGTAGCTCTAATGTTTGCCCCCTACTATCTCTCCCAGTTCCTGTCCTGCCATCCATTTGATACATGCTCGTTAGGTAGGTTACAGTTTTCTCTATCTCTTTGTTGGTGAGTAAATTTTCCAACACTCACTGCCATTTAAGAGGATTGATATTACATAGCAGTTCAGTTGTTTTTGTTCAAAATAGAGAAAAATTAGGAAGGCCATAGAGTATCAAAGGAACAGAAAAATAGGTAGGGAAAACAAAGAAGAGGTTTACTGAAAATTCATAGGATGGAAAAACTTTAGTAAATCAACTACTCCTCAAATTCCACTCTAATATGGCGACTTGCCATATTTATCAGTAAGAGCAGTTCATTTGTCACAAGTAGTAGGGGAGAGCAGGGAGTATGCTGAGTCCAACTCTACAACACTTTCTAATGAAATTCTTAATATTTTGCTTAGCTTTTGGAAGGCATCTTTCACTATTCCAATGTGCTTTTGGATTTCTGTGTTACATTTTCTGTTAAAACGCTTCTTTGATACTTGTTCATTTCTGACGTCCCTCAATTTGTAGCTCACATTTCTTACTCTAATGGTTAAATAAATCCAGCGAGCAGACACATTCCTGTCTTGTGCCTCTTTCTATTTTTGTGTATTTGCTTAATTCACCCAGCCCATATCCACAGGTGGTTTGTTCCCAGTAAATATTCTAGATTATTCTAATATTTTTCCTAAATAGACATTTGTTAACAACACACTCTTTTTCATGTGACCTCTAAAATATCTCGGTTAAGTGGGTAAATGACAAGAAAGAAAAATGGTTTTTACATGGGTTTGCTTGAAGATATTGATTCCTGATTCTTCGGCATGAGCAGTCACGCTTGTGCTAATAATTTCATCAAATGTCCTGAGGACCTGCAAAAGAAAAAGAAATAATATTCTAGCCTGTGATGTAACATGTTCATTGTTCCAAAAAGGTTCCGACTGGTAAACAATGCATGAAGATATTAAAAATAAACTCCAATATTTGATCAGATAAAAATGGGTGCTTAATTTGCTGATACTTCAATGTTTACTAATAATCCAAGGGATGTCAATAAACATTAAAATTAATCAAGTATTGTTTACTTAGGAGTCAATATTGTATACAACAGCTGTGTTTTATTGACACTCCAAAACTGCAGTTGTTTATTTTTTGTTTTAGACAGCTTAAATATTTTGAAACTTTCATTAAACCAACAAGACCATATCTAACACTAATGTTGTCTTTAAAAAAAAAAGAAAAAAAAAAAGAAATCAACTGAATTAGGATATATATATATATATATATATATCACAATGACCAAATCAGTATAAAAATGTTTTTGTTTTTTTACTTATGAAACTTGCAGCATAGATAATATCAGTCATAATTTGAAGCGTTCTCCATAAATATCACTTACCTTGTCATGACGAATTAACATGGAAGTGTCAGAGCCTAATGAATTAAAAATGCCAGCAATTTCAATTGCAATGTAACCAGCACCAACCACGACGGCTTTCCTGAAAAGAAGTTAAATTATTTTTAAAAATTCTTCTTCATAATTGGGAGAGTATATTCTAGAGGAATAGACGTCTGATTCTAGACTCATCTTTGACACAGGACCGGCAAACATGTTGCACTTGAGGTTTTTTCAAATGATTTTACAAACAAAATATCAAAAACTATTTCAACAAAATAAATATGTAATAACATTACATAATAACAAAATGTTGAATAGAATATAAAAGGTCATTTATTTGGCTGAGAGTCAACACTCAACATACACTGCATCGGGCTTGAGTTCAGTGGCCAATATTAAGTAATTCAGTTCTTTGTTAATTCTTATCCAAACTGCATACTATTTACATTATTTGGACTATTGTCCTTATCTTTGTTGACATATTTATCACAACGTTTCAGCTGTTGTACACTCCAGCCTTCTTCGGGTGGTTGGAATGTTGAACTGAACCCTTTATTTTGCTCACTGGGGTAGACTGTTCTAGTTTCACATGTCATCTCTAATGGATGTCAGTTATCAGTTATCTCCTGTTAATTCCCCTCTCCAAGTTCTCCATGACCTTAACCAGGTATTGAACTCACACTCTTTGTGTCCTGTCACGATCTAACTAACACCTTTATCCACTGTGCCATGTGTCCTTGAGGAACTAAAACAGTCTACCCTAGCGAGCGAAATAAATTCCAACCACCTGAAGTAGGCCAGAACGTACAACGAACGAAACATTGTGATAAATATGGCAACAAAGATGAGGACAATAGTCCGAATAATGTAAATAGTGTACATAATACCTCATCTCAGAAATATAGACAGTTATCCAAACTGGTTGTAGGGTTGCAGTGGCTCTTTTATTCTAGAGCAGTCATTTTTAACTGGTGTACCACAGCACACTGATGTGCAGTGGGAGGATTGAAGGTGTGCCATGTTAATTTTTAAAGTTCATTAATTAAATTATTTTTGAAAGAAGTCCAAAGCACAATAAGTGTGCATATAAAAAATTAAAAACCCCTTTAAATTGATTATTATGATTATTATGAATATCTCATTGTTATAATAAATAAATGTATACATAACATATAAAAGAAAAAAAAAAAGAAGCTTTTCTGCAATAAACAATATTAAAAACAAAAATCAATCAATATCTAGAATGCTTGGAAGAAGATTTAAGAGTATGCCTGTTGAAAAATTCAATCTTGCAAGATTGTTAACTTAAAAAAAGAAACTTATATGTTTCTGTTTATTATAGGAATTTTAATATCTTTTTATTACAAATTATAATAAATTGTTTTGTTTGTGTTAATAAATGAATCATAAAAAGGTAGGCTCTTTTTTTGTCATCATAATTTAAGTGTGCTGCAGAAGTTAAATTCTAGGTTCAAGTGTGCTGTGAGATAAAACAGGTTGAAAAACATTGGTCTAGAAGGATGAGCAAATTGCTACACCCTGTGCTGTCATTTCTGACCCCTAACTGACACAGCTAAATTGGATGATTTGAGTAAACTTAGGATTAAAAAAAGAAAATTAAAGGATATTTGAAAAGGACTAGTATTTTCCACTTATAGTTCTTTCTCTGGTTTCTCCAGGCTTTCTGTTATATGAGGATCATTCAAAAAGTTCTAAGCCACACTGTCTTAATTTATGTGCAGGTGAGGACCATACAAAGGTGAGAGGTGTGTAACAAATCTAACATTGGACAAAACCAAGCATAAAGTATCTGCAAAATAAAGGTATGACACCCAAGGAAATCCATGAGAACATGCTACAGACTCTTACTGAAGACTGCCTTTCCTATGCAACTGTGAAGAAGTGGGATGCAGAATTCAAGGAGGGTAGGGACATCACAGAAGATGACCTTGGTCAGTTTATTAAGAAAATTTGTTGGGACCCATGGAATTTCTGAGCGACACATTCAAATACCTACCTGTGAATCCCAGGAACTCATGACATTAAAACCTATCAGCATCACTGATATATACATAAAAAAAAAGACAAAAGGAAGAAATCTTTGCATTTTGTCCTTTCACAAACTTTAACAAGGCAAATATAAGGATTTTATTTTGCAAAAAGTATTTATAATACAGACGTAAAAATTTTGTTAGTTTTCATAATTTTAAATTTTAAGAATGTAAATAAATATTTTTGTGGCTATATTTTTTTTAATATAATGTAATTGTTATTTTTGTGCTGGTGAGACGGAAAAGTACTAGGAAGAGGAAAAAAGTCAAACAATTATGTCCTGACCCCAAAAAGAAGAGGTATTGAGCAAAATTTCATGGGAAAATTAGCTCAAGGGGAGCCTGCTATCCAATTCCCTGTCTTTATAAAACTCTCTTCTTTCATCTATGTGCATGTTGCTGTTCCTTTCACTCAAGTACCACATTTGTCTGTTTGTAAAATCTTTGAAGGATACAACAATTTATATCATTTCATTTTGAGAAATTCATTTATGTGGCTTGCAAAAGGAGTATTTCTTTTAGGAAAGGAGATTTTAAAAAATTCAGGGCACAGATTTACACTGGTAAAATTTGACAGTAGCATTCTCAAGAGTTTTCTGTGTAAGTTATTTTCTCATTTAATAAGTGTAGCATTCTTTGGATGAAAGTTGTGGTTGAACTTATTTCTATGTATGACTAATGCATTTGATAAATTATTGTGTGTAAGATCCTTTTGGGAATCATAATTAAGTGAAACTTTTAGTTAAACTGAAGTATATTTATGAGTGTACTTAAATTTAAAATTCTGAAAAATTATCAAGATTTTTTACTTCTGTTTATAAATACTTGTTGCAAGTCATTTTCAATTAGACTATATATATATATATATATATATGCACACAATGAACAGCAAGGGAGGAAAGGATAGAAATGAAAGAATGAGAAAAGTTTACTGGCTGGACATAAAGAATCAGTATGAGAAAGACTGAAAAGCAAGGCAAATAGGGATGAGATAACATTGAAATTACAACAGATTAAAGTTCCTTATGTAGGAGAGAGCAAAAGAAAATATATTCATGGACAGAAAAGATACAGGTATATGGTGAGAGAAAAAAAAGAAGCAGGAGGTAATGGATAATCTTAGTTGTATTGAAAGGGAGAAGGGAGAAGAAAAAAAATTTTAGTCATTTACACCAGCCAATTTTACTTTTAAATGAAAGAACATATTGTTTGCTTTCAGAAAATACCTACTTTCATGGGGTTCAGATCAAAAGTTTCCTTGGTATTTTGTTCAGTCATTTTTTAATATTTTGTCTTGTTTTACCTCTAAAAAAGTATGAAAATCCATTTTTTTAAGAGAAAATTAGCAGTGATGAAATTACTTTTGCTATTTTTGTGATGATTTTTACTTGGGATAGAAAATTTTTACTATAGCAAACCTGAATTGACTTTATATTTGAGGTGGGGGGCTATAATCACAGCTGTGAGGGACATAGCATTGGTTTCAAAAAAAAAAAAAAAAAAAGAGAAAGGGCTGTGAACCTCAGAGACATGTTGAGCAAGGCAAAAAAGACTTGAAAAAGCAATGACGTGAAAATAAAAAAAGCAAAGAAAATATGGTCATTTGCCTGAATTCTATGGAGACAGAAGGCGGCATGATTTAAAGACACTCACTTTGGCAGTTTTTCTAGCTCAAAAAACTCATCACTTGTGATTCCATATTCAGCACCTAAAAATAAGCAAGGATTATTATTATTATTATTAATATTATTAATATTATAACAATAACAATACTAATAATAATATATAAAGTACACAATAAGTTTGTTTGACAAGCATATATATCAAACTAGATTCCATTAAGGAAAAGATAAAATTCTATTTTTAAAAACATCAGTAATTTTATTTTTCTTGTCCATAAATAAATGTCATGATTTTTCTGCATCTGGTAAGCAAAAAAAAGAAATGTTTAAAGAGAAATACATTGGTTACCACTTCAGGTCTAATATGGTCTACAGTTGACTGGTTGCACAAGCAATTAACAGCAGAATAAGCTTCAAAATTCCCTAAAGCGAAAGATGACACTGGAAAGTTTTGCATCAACTAGAATTGGAAATAAAAATAACTACCATATATCCTCATGTATAAACCAACTTCATGTATAGTGCAACCCCTGAATTTTTTGCATGAATTTTAACTCCTCTAGAAAAAATTTACCTGTGTAAAGTACTACTGCTCACCAAAAATATATGATTTTTAACCTCTTCAAAGAAAATTACCTGTGTATAGTGCATCCCCATTTTTTTGTATAAAAAACTTATCATAAAAACTCACATTATACTAGAGCATATACAAAAACAAATTTTATATGTTTGAGAAAAATTCTCAGTTTTTTTATATTAATTTGGCATCCCTACAACAAATAAAACAAACTATAATGAAACTAGTTTATTTCACTGGATAGAAGTTAGAAGAAAGGAAGGAACGCTTGATAGCAGATTGTCTAGATTACTAAATGGTGCAATATCTAAAGTTGAAATTATCAAACTTTCATGAAAAAATGAAAATCTTTAAGATTCTTAGAAAAATTATTGGCAAACTTGGACTTTCATGCCTGCAAAAAAAAAAATGCGAGTCTCAAAAAGTTTTGGCTTTCCCCTTGGCACAAATCCCATTTTAACTACTTTTTCACTTTGTGGCAATGTTTATTTGTTTTAAAAAGCAATGATTAGAATGGGAATAAAACAAACATATGATGAAAGGAAATTTATACATTCTTTTGTTCTCAAGAATTTACAACAAAAATATTAAACGTTATTTATTTATTGTTTAAAGAATAATTTTACATTTACAACATTCTACAAACTAATACATTTTGAATTCATGCAATATTTTTCCTTTAACAGTTTATAAAGAAATAAACATGAAAACAATTTTTTCTTTATAAATATTTCCTAGGTTATTAAAATATGTGAACCAACTATAAAGAAATCCTTATTTAAGATTTTATAAAGTTCAAATCAACTGCTAATTAGCAGATGTTTTATTAATCATTCCAATATAATAACTAAAGTGTAAATAAACAATCTAATAAATAAAGTGTTTAATATTCTTGTTGTCAATTCTCAAGAACAAAGAAAATGTATAAATTCACTTTCATTATATGTTTTAATTTTATTACAATTCTAATCATTGCTTTTTAAAACAATAAACATTGCCGAGGAGTGAAGGTAGTTAAAGTAAATATTATTTATCTGGATTGCGGAATTTTCTTTGAAACTGAGAAATTTTGAAATTTAAGAATTTGTTTATAAATAGAAAGAAAGTAAAAAACAATACTAGACCAAGAAAACTTAAAAAAAAAAAAAAAAAAAAAAAAAGAATTGTTGATAGTTTTATAGACAATTTTCCTATCAATGTATGTGGAAGGTAACTTAGTCATACGAAAAAGAATTTTTTTTAAACAATTATTTTTAATAGAAATACATTTTAAATTTTTACTGATTAGCTTGTAGTTATTTATTTCTAACACCACCAAGATTGAAATATGACAGTAGACAAAAAATGACAAAAGCACCACATTTTTTGCATCTTATAAAGAAAGAAATTGTAAAGCAAAATAAGACATTTTAAAAGTAGTGAAGGTATCAAGGAAGATTTGAATGAGACTAGATTGAAGCTGAAAACATTTTGATCTCTTACCTGGTAATGTGGGAACAACTGGATGACCTCCAGTAGCAATGAGGATGTGAGATGCCAGATATTTCTTATCATTTACCTCCACACATTTATCTTTTGTGAATTTCGCATGACCAAGAATTTGATCCACTTTTGACTGAAGCCAAAAAGGAAAAAAATTATTTGACAAGATTTTATTTTAGAAGTTTCATAAAACGTGATAACAAGGGCTGTCTAATAAAACAGGTGCGGGAGAAATTTATTTCAATTCCCAATTCCTTGTGCATTGTAGAATTCCTTAACTACAGATTTGATTGCTACTCTTTAGTTTGTCTTTCTTTAACACAGACAACAGTCAGTAAAATATTGGATTTGACCCCAGACAGAAAAAGAGGCTGACAAAAGGCCAGATAGATTTAGTCACAGGATATTTTATATGCAGGTATCCTTTTCTCTTATTTTGCTAGAAATCATTGTCAAATAATGAAACAATATAATACTTGGCTTTGGCGGCGAAATCACTATTGTTTATGACTTATTTAAATGAGACTGGCTTTGGACTATGACGCGGTTCCAGACAAATGTCCTTATGATAGATTTAGGCTAAAAAGAAAAAAAAAGGTATTTGCTGACTTGTGAAAAATGCATCTTCAAGTACACAAGTCACTGTGGGCATATCAAACCATGATGATCAAGGGCAAGTGGTTTTGCAGTTGGAGCTTGACCTCAACATGGCACCTCTAGTCAAGAAGTCAATTATTGACACTATTTGGTCACAGGAGGAGTCAGTTGGGAGAGGGACATCAGCACATGTAGACGATGTGTGTATGTCAATGAGAACATCATGTCTGCAGAACATGTCTGGGCAAAATTGGCCGAGTATGGGCTGATGTGAAAATACCCAGAACATTTGAAAGATGAGGCTCATGTGCTTGGACTGGAAGTCTAGGAGGAGCACCATGGCAGGCAAAGAATCTGCACATAAAAACCAACTCTTTATGTGTGTAGAACTGGTTGTCTGACACCCTCACATCCAAAGCTAAGGTAAGTACCAAATCAGCAAGCGAGATGCTGGTGCAAAGCAGGTCAAACACTATGAAAGAACTGGTCCAAGAACACAAGTTGTCTGTCAACGTGATGCTGGTTGCATCAAACCAGAACTTGGCAGACAAGATGACCCGTGTACTCAAAAAGTGGGCTGAACCTGTGCAGCAAGTGTGTGCTTCTTCCCTCGACACTATGAGTTGAAGTCAGATGATGGAAGTACATCAATGCAGTGGGCGTCCAGGAGTACAACGTACTACATATTTTGTGAGGAGAGTTTGTCCTTTTGTGACACATGCCATGGTGAAATCAGCCATTGGCACCTGCGCTAGTCCATTGGAAAAAAAACAGACTGGGGGTGAACAGTACTTGGCACTAGCTTGGTATGGATATCACTCACTACTGCAGCAGTCATTACCTGACACTAACAGATTGCGATCCATCACGTTTTTCTGCGTGGCAGTCATTACAGTGCCAAGACTCATTGAACATCATATGTCAGCTGTTCTGTGAGATGAGATTACCATGTGAGATACTCACAGACAATGACACAGCATTCCACAGCAGTGAGTTTCAGGCCTTTGTGCATGAATGGGATATGTATTTGCAAGTCACAGGAATCCATGCAAGCAGTGCAACTGGATGGTGGTGAAAACAGATAAATTAACAACAAAGACATATAAAAAATTTCACACTCACATTTTCCAAGTTCTTTGAGTAAATCTTGTTCAGTCTTTTGATGTAATCATCTCTAGCTTTCTTCAGTTTGCTGGTGAAAAGAAAAGAATCAATTGAAAATAAGTAGAATATTAAGGGTAATATATGTTGTTTCCCTACATTTGGCATGAGTTGACCAAGCAGCCAGTACTGTTTTCAGTTGAAATTTATAAAATCTTTCTTTTAAAACAATTTTTCAGGAAAATAGATTTCTCAAGTTCAGTTGTCAAGGCCTACCTGAAATACTTTGACAAAAACCCTATGTTGTGGTTTAATAATTTCTTTAATTTACTTCTATAAGATTTTATGGTAAACAATTTTTTGTAAGAAAATTTCTTTTTTTCCTTTTTAACAGAGAAGAATAAATTCTTAGGATTTCTTACTTTTGAGCATGCAACTGGCTATGTATAGAAATTTCTTTCTGGAGCCAAATTCCAACTTTTTGAAGCATTTGCCACTGGGATTTGTTTACAGTTCTCACAAATGCAAGGCAAAATGGAAACTGGTTTCTTGTCCCTTTGAAATGATATTCGGATGGTTTAGGAATAAACTTTATTTGTACCTCCTTACCTGTTTGCACTTTTCTCCAAAATTTGGTTTCAATTGGTCAATGTATGTCTATTTTAGAGGGTTATGACGAACAGACTAACAGAAGTCACAGAATTTTATATATAGATAGATAGATGAAGCTTATAAACAAGACAAGGTTCAAATTAGTCAAAAGATTAAGAATACAGTGAGGCTCAGATTTTTTAACATAACTTCATTAAACACAAATAACTAAAATTTTTAACTCATTTAGGGCTGTAAGCACAACAGTCAAACTTCAAAATTGCCTTAGCATGTCAAGATTCAGCTGAAAATTACCTAATAAGGCTTAAAAGGAAAGAAAAAAAAGTGTAGACTAGAAGCTTGTAACATGATCTGGTCAGCAGGCATGAAAAAAAACATGAATTTGGGATGAATTTCTGCTGCATCAAGATTTATGTGTCACACTGAATTAGTATCTTTAAATGTCACTTAGAAGAGTGGAAAAAAAGTAATGAGAGATTTTTGGTTTCAAGCATGGGGTAACAAGATTAGCTGGGGGTGATAAATCAGTGGCTAATAAGGGGGGGGGCTAAAAAATGAGATGTTCAATTTCAAAGATTCCTGATTATTTTTTTCATATTTGATCTCATGAGAATATTTTTTTTAGATCTATTATCCAACTGTAAACATTTCATTTTGAGATATATATATATGTATATATATATATATATATATATATAATGAAATGGATTAAGTCCAACAATTATTTAATATATTTTCTGTTTATATGTTATTTAATAGACACAATTTATTTAATGCTCTGTTTTTTTAAAGAAATAGTATTAATCACATTTACTGGCCTGAATATTTGAGAAATTTCATAGAAAATATGCATTCTCCAACAAGAATTGCATCTGTGCCCTACATGGAACCATCAATTGATCTGATGTGCTATTCTACTCAGCTACAGAAAAGCATCTGGTTAGCAAAGTCCAAATTACTGTTTTTAAACAACAACTTTTTGACGATCTTTCCCGAATGAGCATATCTGCTCAAGAGACGTGTCTTAATGTAAACACTGACAATGTATTATGAAACGGATTAAGTCTGATAATTATTTAATATCTATCTATATGTTATTTTTATTAGATACAATTTATTTAAGTAAATGCTCTGTTTTTTAAATAAACAGTATTAATTACATTTACTGGCCTGAATACCCGAGAAATTTTGTAGAAAATATGCATTATCCAACAACAGCTGAAGCAAATGGAATTTTTTTTTTTTTTGGTTTTAAGTACATTATTTTCTAAATTAGTCATGTAGAAATTGCTAAATGTTAGTCCATATGTAGATGACACTCTCATCTTAGTCAAAGACAGAGATGCAATACAAGAACTACAAGAAAACTTTCAAAAAAACTCTGTACTTAAGTTCACATGAATGTAAGGCCAAAAAAAATCCTGTTTCTTGATGTATTGATAGACAATAATACAATTACTACCTTTCTTCAACTATGAGTATAGCATCAAATTTCTTAAATGTTTGTAGCAGTAAAAAATTATTTATATATATATATATATATATATATATATATGAGACTTTATTTTAGGTTATTACATGAAAAACATATAAAAAAAATGCTACACAATTGCATTTGAGCTTCAATATGAAGCAACGCATATCATCAGGCATTGGTAAATAACTGGTAAGTAGACAATTTATTGAGAATTAAAAGCAAGATACATCCTCTTTTCATGAGAAAAGGAAGAAAAAGGAAAAAAATAAGAGAAGAGGAAATGGTTGCAGAGTTTGTTTGATTTTACTCAGATCAACCAATCAAAATGACCTAGGCTAATTTTAAAGCAAGGGGAGAAGCAAAAGTTAAGAAGCAGCCATTTGTAAAGGGTCATGATCCACAGATTTAGAATCATAGACAGCTCCCATACATCACATAGGAGCAGAGGTAAATGGCTACAATATTGTACACCAGACAATGTCATTTCCTAGGGAAGATGGAAGGTAATTTAACAAAATACTAGACAAGCTACATTCCCTGTGGGTTGAAAAAAAACTCTTTTATAGTTGGTAAATAAACAGGCTCTTTAAGAAACCAATGAATTATTTAAACATATAGAACTGAGTAAAATAAAATGCAACTGTTGACTAAAGGTTATTTATGTGGGGTGTTAATAACAATAACCAATCAATGCAGAATGTCAGTCAAATGCCAATGCATCTGTACCAAATGTTACCAACACTACTAGAAGATTAATACAAAAATTATATTAAATCAAAAGATAAGTCATATATGGTACAACACCGTTCAACTTAAATCTAAGAAAAGGCAATTGTCAAATTTTAGCAATTATGTAGGGTAAAAGGTAGAGTATTTTTACAATTTACTGTTAATTCAAGTCTTTGATTTAATAATTTGATTAATTTGATTTAATAAAGCGTCCTTATTCAAGAACCTAATAATCTACATTTTTCCTGTAAACAAAGAAAGCAAGGTTCATATAAGAATCTACATGTCCTTGCCAGTTTTAAAATTTTCCATTTCACTTTAGGAGTTTTATTTTCCTCTTTCAACCTCTAAAAATATTAAGTGATGTATTATTTCTCTAAGTGTTATTAGTAAAAGACGATATGTGTTGAGATGTGTGCGTGTGTGTAAGAATAATAGATAAAATGAAAAGTTATCTCCCTTATACTGTGAAGAAAACCGTGAATTTTGAAATCTAGAACGCTGCATAACGCAGTAAAAAGGAACAATTGAAATGTTTTGAATTTACAGAAATACATATACACATTAATAGACAATTTAAACCCCTGAAGATGGTCTCAAATGAGATTGAAATTACTTGGGAAAATAAAAATTATTTGGAAGAAGATTTTGGTATTTTTCTTAATCAATTTTTTAAAGCTGCCAAGAAATTGATTTGTGAACTTGAAAGGATCACAAACAAAATAAATCGACATGATATATGTCTAAATTATTTAACCAAAACTGATTGAATGAAAATATGCTACTTAAACACACACACATATATATATATATATATGTACCTCCAAAGATTCACTAAAAAAATGAGCATAATTTAATATTATTATCATTGGCAAAATATCATAAAGAGGAAATATTAAAGGATTTTTTATATAATTTTTTTTTTTTTTTTAATCCTTTTTAGAACCTTCAAAAGTTTGGTTAAAAATCTTGTTTATCTGGTATCAATGTGGGATCATAAATTAGTATGGGAAATTTGAGCGCCTTTTTACAGTGAAAAGTGATTACAGCGATTTGGAAATTTTTGCTAAAATCAAATAATTGTTGGGTTTTAATGAAACCTTCAGGACTTATTCAGAAGTGAATATTATTTTTGAAATGTAACTTTTTTTCTTTTTTAGAACATCTTGGTAAAAATATTTTTTTGCACCTGTTTACCCATCACTCATTTAACTTTATGAAATTCTGAGAAATCCTTTTTGTAGAGCTTAATGCTTATATTAGTTATAAGGACAAATCCTCAGTGAATTGAAATAAACAAATATTTTTAGTCAAACAGTTACAGAAAATCTCTTCTGAATTGTAAAATAAAAAATCCAATAAAACTAAGACATTATTTAAACAAAAAGTTTAAATAATGTCTTAGTTTTATTGGATTTTTATGCATCTTATCAAAAAATTTTTTTTCAATGAATAATAAATTTTTACAAGAACTGTTTTTATTTCTTTTAAATAGAATAATTTATAAACTTTTAAAATTCTGTATTAATTTGTAAGTGTTACTGTTATTAAATAAAAACTATTTACTAATCATAAATGGAAAAGTTTGCTACAATTCAATGACCCCAGTATTTTAAAAAGAATTTTAAAATGTTTTTTTGTCTATAAATGTGCCAATTTTTTGTAAATGCAGATGTCTATAAATAACATTAACAGAAAATCAGAGCAGTAACTATAGTGAATTTATAATTTATTGGTAATTTTCTAACCTTTGCTCAACAAGTTCCTCTGTAATTAGAACTATGAAGCCAAATTACCTAAAATTCAATAAAATATTACAATGCTTAAAATATTTTTAATTTTTAGTATTACTGTAGTTAAAGTTAAAAAATGATATATATATATATATATATATATATATATATATATATATTCAAAAATTATAACATAAGCATGTTATAACATCACTACAGAAATAGCCATTTTGCTTCAACATTTTTTTTAAAAATTCTTTATTTCGCAATCAACACCATCACTTGATAAGACACCAGGAGTGTTGAAACAAAATGGCTATTTTTGTAGTGATGTTATAACATTTGAATAAACATTACCTGCTCTACTCTGTATTAAGCACTTTTTTAAAAAAATAGTGTTTTTGGTTATCAGAATTTTATTCCATCTATACCTACCCTGTATTTGGATATATACATCAAATAAATAAATGTATATGCAAGGTATATATATATATATATATATATATATATATAACCAAATAAATAAATTAAATAAATCTA